GATGTGAATGTTCACAGTTGCACCACTAATGTGAATGTTCACATTCACTTACGATATCCATACTGCTATGTTGTTATGAGTGTAATTTCTGCGAATGTTTGAACCTGACTGTTTTATAATACACATACTTTGTGCAGGAGTGTACACTTGGTCTACATGACATAATTACGGATCACATATACATGTGTGAATATTCACATTTGTTCTTGCTTATAACAGTTGTAAATGTCATTCTTCTCTGCCAAATGTGAACATTCACTTATGATATTCATATGCACTAATGTTTACAGATGTGAATGTTCACAGTTGTAACACTGATATGAATGTTCATACTCACTTATGATATTCATACTGCTGTGTTGTGATGAGCATAATTTCTGTGATGGTTTGTACCCGATTGTTCTATAGTACACATATTTTCTGTAGGAATATCTATGTCACATCATTACGGATCACATACACAAGTGTGAATATTCACATTTGTTCTTGTTCATAACAGTTGTGAATGTTTTATGATTCTCTGCCAAATGTGAACATTCACTTATGATATTCATATGCACTAATGTTTGACAGATGTGAATGTTCACAGTTGCAACACTGGTTTGAATGTTCATACTCACTTATGATATTCATAATGTCATGTTGTGATGAGCATAATTGATGCGATTTTTGGAACCTGATTTTTATGTAATACACATACTTTGTGCAGGAATGTACACATTGTTTGCATGACATCATTACGGGTAACATACACAGGTGTGAATATTCACATTTCTTTTCATTCATAACAGTTGTGCATGTTCACACCATGTCAATCTTTATGCATGTGAAAGTTCACATCACAGCTTATATTCATATCAACATTGACAACAATAAGGTAAAAAAGTTCAATCCATGTGCAAGTTTTCACATAATATGATTCTTTTACGTAAGTGTGAATGTTCACATCATGTATTTATCATTACAACTTTAACAAAATATCAGTTTCATACACAAAAAGAAAATGAAAAAGCACAAATGAAATAAAAAGTTTGCCAAACCATTATTGTGCTTGCCAACACAACACAATCTTATTTCAAAAATGAATATAAGAATCCAATGTAAAACACAACGTTGAAATGAAAAATGTACATCCTATATCGGCTCCTTGCATGACTTCTGATTATGGCTCCCCAGCTTATCACATCTCCCGCACCTTATTTTTTTCAGTTTCTCACCCCTTGAAGGGATCCTATTCTTTTTCGGCCTTCCGGGTGGTCTTTTCACAGTTAGCGGGTATATAGTGAAGTCCATGGGATCAAAAGACGACTTCTCCACCGATGGTATAGGGAATATGGCACCCGAATACGTTGCACGATATGTCTGTACATGAAAGTAATGTTCCACACAATCATTGAGATTGTAGCGACTCTTCTGAATGGCAACAACAGCATGGTCACATGGGAATCCGTTGATTTGCCATTTGAAGCACGAACATGTACGTCTCGCAACATCAACAGTAACAGATGGTATCGAATGAACTTCAAACACATTCTCATTGGCTTTGCTAACTTGCCAAGACCTACTATCATTGAACGAATCCATAAGCCTTGTTTCGAATATAGGACAAATAAGCTCTTTCCATTTGTTTGCTTGGTCACGCCGTGCAGACATTTGCCGCATCAACTGAGTACAAATTGTGTCCACCATTTGAGTGATAGGAAGATTACGTGCTTTTTTAATCTAGTTATTAAATGACTTCGCCGCATTGGAAGTCATCTCCCCATAACGCATGTCCCTGCACAATATCACAAACATTTTACAATACGAAATTTAACAGGTCTGAACATTTACGTTGACTGATGTGAACATTAACATCATTTGCAGTGAACATTAACATCAACTTACACAATAGACAGATGTGAACATTAACATCAACTTAAATGACAGAATGATGTGAATGTTAACAATACCAAAATATGACAACAGATGTGAACATTCAATATCACAAACATTTTACAATCCGAAATTTAACAGGATTGAACATTTACGTTGACTGATGTGAACATTAACATCATTTGCAGTGAACATTAACATCAACTTACACAATAGACAGATGTGAACATTAACATCAACTTAAATGACAGAATGATGTGAATGTTAACAATACCAAAATATGACAACAGATGTGAACATTCACATCATTCAAATCAGTCATCATTATCAGATGTGAACATTCACATCATTGACATTGAACATGAAACACAATTGGAAGATTTTTACAATTCTTAACTGAAAATTCACACCGCTACCATTCTGAACTTGACAAATGAAACACTTTATGAAACTATTATTACCTGAAGTATGAATTTGCCCAGTGCTCAGGTGCCAAGTCCTTGAAAAAATCATGTGCTCGTTATTTACCCTCCTCTTTTAATTTTGCAAGCTTTTCATGGAACCCTACCACAGTTGGCTCATAGGCACAATCAGCCAAACTACTTACTAGGTGATCCCTGAATCCATTATCAATTCCTTTCATCCGGTCTCTTAAATTGCTCTTCAAATGTTGTAAGCAATAACCGTGATGAGCCAATGGGAACACCTTCGACATAGCTTCTAACAGGCCAAGATTACGATCCGAAATAAAAGTAATCTAGCGCTTACCATCAACAACCTTCCCAAGTTCATGCAAGAACCACAACCAATTCGTCGTGGTCTCCGAATCAACAATTGCAAATGTAACAGGAAACAGACCTACAACACAACACCAATATGCAACTGTTCACAATATTCCAAAGTGAATAGAAAACAATATAAACGAAACAGGTCATGTGAATGTTTATATCTACATTGCCCTATTACTATTGTTATTTCTGGATTCAAGTTCATAAACATCAATGATGTGAACATTCACATTAACAACCATTAATAATTCATTTTTTATTGTTCAGTAATTGATAATGTGAACATTCACAGTACTATTCATTAATGGATCAACTGACAGTAGTATACACTGATGTGAATGTGAATGTTCATATTACTGTCATTAGCAGACACATATGTATAATAATGTGAATGGATCAGTGTATAATAATGTGAATGCTCACATTACTGTCATTAGCAGACACAGATGTGAACATTCACATCAGTGCATACTAATGTCAATGTTCACATTACTTATAATTTTTCAATCACTCATTTGTCCATATTATGCATGTCAATGTGAATATTGACATGAATATACAGGTAAAAAAAATACTAACCATTGTTTCCGTCATTCGCCGTTGCCGCAAGTAGCTGGCCTTTATACTTTCCTTTGAGGAATGTTCCATCCAAGAATAATAAAGGCCGACAAGAATTGAACTCAGAAATACACGCAGCGAATGACACAAAGAAACGACAAAACTATTGACTACTCGCATCATAGTCAATATTGACATAACTCCCGGATTGTACCGCATCACAGCATCCGAATACCACCGCAGCTGGTCAAACGATAATGAGTAATCTCTATGAATACCAGCCTTTGCTTTCTCCACAGCCAACCATACGACATGGTAACTCACATCTAGCCCATAATCCCTCTTCAAAATAGTCACAACATCACACGGCCGAGTCAACGGCTTGTCCCTCACAATTTCAAATATGGTACTCGACACCAAATCCGAACTAACTCGCGGATTCTTCGATGTTTGGACATCCGTACCACAAGTATGCACATCACTAAAACTCTTGATGTAGAAAAAATCATTTGCTCGTTGTGCTCTACAATGTATAGCCCACAAGCAGCCCCTCTCCTCCCGCCTCGCACACACAGCAGTAACTCTTGTTGTCTCGTTCTTCCCGTATGTAAACTGAAACCCACATTGGATGGCATACTTACATAAGACGTCACGAAATTCTTGTGTACCTCCAACAAACCGTTGTCCCACATGCGTAATACCATTTGCCCAAGGGGCTGACAACAACACCTTCTCCTTATGGTGGCAAAATTTCCGTAGTGCATCAATTTCTTCCTCAACCCCCACACGCACCAATCCCAAACTACTTGACTGACCAATATCACTTTTCAACTCAACCACAACTTCTACATGTTGTACCCCCATTGATTTAACAAGCAGTAACATGTTCTGAAATTCTTCCTCATTGTCCAAATCACACTTACTAATCCCAGATAGTTTACAGAACAATGAAATAGAACCAGCAGACAACTCATCCCATTTCTCACACAAACACTCCACCAAACGAGAATAACACATTGCATGGGCAATATTTATTACAGTTGTACTGCAACCATATGTACACACCAACAGCATAAAGGTATCCATCTCTTGTAAAAACACAAAAACACAACAATGAACAGTAATAAAAATCGATATGAAAATTCACATTGTGCAAAAAATAGATGACTACGCGTACAGTTCAAGTGCTAAATCCATAATTCACAATACGAAGATGTGAACATTCACATTGATATTAACGACATGTCAACATTAAGCAAACATCAAAGTAATATGAGAACATCAACAATCTTCACATAATATTAACAAGATGTGAACATTTACATTGACACATACACTCTGAATTATATGACACACACAGAGCCTCATTCAGCAAACATCAATTTTAAATGGGAACATCCACATTCTTCACATATTCTACATTAACAAAATGTGAACATTCACATTGATATATATATTGATAATCAAATCATCCACAGAGAGCCTCATTATGCATACATCAAAGTAAAATGAGAACTACACATTTAATCAAAATCAACATGAAAATTCACATTGTGCAAAAAAAAAAAAAAAATGACTACGTGTGCAGTTCAAGTGCTAAATCTATAATTCACAATATAAAGATGTGAACATTCACATTAATATTAATAAGATGCCAAAATTGCAAACATCAAAGTAAAAATGAGAGCATCAACAATCTTCACATAATATTAACAAAATATGAACATTTACATTGACACATACACTCTGAATTATATCACACACACACAGCCTCGTTAAGCAAACATCAATTTAAAATGAGAACATCCACATTCTTCACATATTCCACATTAACAAAATGTGAACATTCACATTGGCATATATATTGATAATCAAATCATCCACAGAGATCCTCATTACGCATACATTCAAGTAAAATGAGAACTAACACTGTTCTTCACATAATATGAATGAACTCCCCTCCACAGGACCACGTAAAAAGCATATAATTGAAAAATCAGAGCATCCAATTCATATCAATCCAAAAACAGAGCATCTGATCCATCATACGAATGAAACCATAAACCGAACATGTATTCATAATCAAATTGATACTAACCTTAATCATGCAATCCTACAATCATCCAGAAAGTCGAAAACAACTGATTTGAACTACTTATAGTCCGGAACATGTGACAGTCGAACACTTTCCTCTTCGTCGTCTTCACTCTAAAACCACAGAACCAGACTACAACAGCAAGAATGAAACCCTATCACAACCAATCCTTGGAACGAGCATGCAAAACATAAACGTATCTCTTGGAATTGGATTGATGATTAAAAGCGTAAAATAAAAACTGCCAAACTGAATCAGCGAGGAAACAGGCACGTAATACGTAAATACGTATTAACACTGTACATATATATATATATATATATATATGGGGGCAAAATAGTCCAGGTAAATATATTAATTAGAAAAATGGACCTTATGGAATAAAAAGAAAAGTTTATGGGACTAATCAAATTATAATATTTCTTTGTGGACCTAATGGATTATAACAACTCTAGAATGGATTTATCAATAAAAAAATCCTATTGTTAATTGAATTAAATTGACACAAAATGTAAAATTAAGAAACAAAATTAAGCTAATTAAAAATGTAAGAATCAAAATAACATAAGAGTTAAAATATAAAAACGATCAACATAATTTGTCCTAAATTAAATTATTAAACATTTCCTCTAAATTAAATGCGTTGACCTACCTTAATCTCTTCTTCTTCCTCCTTGAATTGATCACTCCAAACAACACGTTCATCATCATCCCCCAATGATTCAAAGTATTGTTCAGGACACCTAGTCTTGATTCCATATCCCCTACAAAATGGAATCCAAGACCTCCCAAACAAGCAAGCTTCTTTCACAGCATACAAAGTCAACGGCGAACCACCATCATCAGAAAGATACACCGCCAGCTTCTCAGGCGGGTAGTCGAGCGCCATGGCCGACAATACCGTGTTCATCACCTCCACCGTCGGCTCCTTCTTCGAATCAGCAGTGCAAATAAAAACATCGATTCCCAGCAACTCAATGTTGCGGGGATGTTTTCGGGGTGGGCGGTACGAGTGACCGGCCGCCACTCGAAAGCCTGGGACAGGACCCAGAGGAAGGTGAAGATGAGCTCGGCGGTGGTGATGAGAGTCCATGGGAAAATGAGTATATCATGATAAAAGTGGAAGAGGTGTGAGAATCTGTAGTAGAGAAGGGATAGTGTGGCTGTGAAGTGGAAGAGACTCTGGATTTTGTTGATGGTGGCTCGAGTTTGTTGGACTGTGCAGGTGTGGAGGTTGAGGAGGGTGGCCATCTCTTGTTCTTTGAGCTTGGAAGAGAGAATGCCCTAGTCTCTATGTATATATAGGCCCAACATCTCCATAATTTATCACTCTTAAATAATCTTTAATAATGTAACATTGAGGTTAAACCTCACATAATGAAATATTTAATAAATTAAAATTTGACACTTATTAAACACATCAGTGATTTTTAGAGACGATAAATTAGGTGTCTCAAATATTTTTCTATCAAAATGATATAAACCCTTATCAACTCATAATTTATTCGAAATGTATTTGTATTTGTGTAGTGGAGATTAAATTGATAAAATGTGAAATTCATGAATAAAATGAATTTGAATAAGTGATTCCTTTTTCTGAATAACTTCTGGTAGTGTTGCTGTTTATATATACATATTTGATTGCATATGTATCTGTTTTTTTTTTTTTTTTTTTTTTAAGACTTAATTCATATAAGATATTAAAAAGAAGTCTAACGAATTACAATAATAATATATTACATACAATACAAATTTTTATATAGAACTTTCAAAGTGAGAAAGAAAATAACACCCATACACAAGTGAGTAGATTCTACTGCTTTCATAGTAAAGAGTTATAGCCAATTGAATTAACCCGTTGATGATTGCAATTATCTGTTAGGTGACACTTTTACTAATTACAAATGATTTTCTTAGATAGATTTTAAGGCTCGTTTGAGAATAAGTTATTTTAATAATTTTTTATTTTTTACAAAAAGATGTGTAAAAAAATAGAGAGGATAATATGACAACTTATAATAACTTTTTAATTTTTTAATTAAAATATACCGTTAACAAACGAGACTTTAATATACAATATAAATAGGATGAATATTTTGACTAAAGGGTTCAGTTTAAGTTATTTTCAGCTCACTTTAGGTCTACTTTATTTATTTAAATCATTGAACTTTTAGTATTTATTTTAATGGATCACCTATAAAAAAAATTAATTAATTAATTAAATTTTGATAATTACATGTTTGAATGGTATTTATTTTTTCTAAAAAAAATAATAAACAAATATATATATATTTTTTAAATAAAACATTTATTTTTAACCTCCACAGTGACAATGTTCTCTATTGTACAATAATCACTCCTAAAAATGACTCAGATTACATTATATGATTCTCACACTCAGGTGATTACACTTTTCATTCGTCCATTAGTAGGAGGTCGAGAATATTTTATCCCCATATATTTTTGTTTTTATATCTCAAAACACTCACAAGTTTTAAGTCATTAAAAATCTTAAGATACAATGCTCTCAAGATTTAATAAACTTGAAACACTGAATACAGATTTGGGAATAAAAAAATTCCCAATCATTAGTGCGCCTTACTATGTAAAATTATATATCGTTAGTGAGTTCCACCATTTTATTTATGAAGTGTGCCCTACTTCGTCATCATTTGATTGGAAAATTCGTTGCAAAGTTCAGACTATCCAGCCCAATGGGGTTTTATCTAAGTTGGGTTGTATCTTGGGTGGATCAATCCAATTCGAATGAAGTTGGCTTGGGTCTTAAATCCAATCGTAGACCCATCTCATCAGCTTGTCGTTAGATTGCGCATTAGATTAGTCCGAAATCCTATCAAAAATTACAAAGAAAAATTCAAAAAATAACTTGTAAACTTTGACCTATTAGGCTAAACCTGCGGGCAAGCCCACACCATCGATCTAACTCACAAGCTTGTCTCGACCAAGCTTATTGGGCAAGACTTAGGTCTAAAATTGTGCTTTGCGAATCGGACTAGCCAGAAGCTATAGGAAAAAAAAAAGTCACTAGACTTAGCCTGTAAACAAATTTGGACTTCATTTTCACAGCTTGGTTTGATGCGAACCCTTACACCACACGATGTGTGTTAGTTTTTAATATATATTTTTTGAAGTTGATCAAGAAAGGCATGGCTTACTTTGAAAGGCATTAGTAAACTTGCAGTCACAAGTTTGGCTTATTTTGAGCGTCGTTAGTAAACATGCGGCCACAAGTAATTAAGGACTATTTTAGGAAGATGATTATAATCAATTTTTTGGTTAAAAACGGATTATAATCAGTTTTTGGTGAGAGGGGAAAGTTGGTTATAATCTGAGAAGTAGATTATAACTCACTTTCCAAAAGACCTCTAAATGCGAGTACACGTTTAAAATTTAGTTGTGGATAGTTGGGCTCTTTCTTCTTATTTTATTTAGTTGAAGAATCTTCATAATAAGCTAAATCTTGTTTTTTTGGTATAAACAAATTATGAAGCCGGTATCTTAGTTAGATCATGAAGTATATTATTTCAAAATTAAAAGGGGATAATGTGTGAGTGATTTTCTGACCACACTGCTCGCCTAGTAATCAGCTGGAAAAGTACTGGCAGAATAGATGGCTTCAGCTAACCTGTAACAGAAAGAAAATGCTCCGGCGGTGGCTCTTCCATCCGGGGCACTCCAACGATCAAGTCAGTATATCTCTCAAAGATAATCAAGTGCTAAACTCACTACTCAAAACATAAAACTGCGTACCTTAGACCCACGGGGGTGCCTCTTTTTTATAGCCAACATAAACCTAGTCCCACTAGAAGCCTAACTTCTATGGACTCCCATTCAGTGCTTACTTTGGATTCCTCAAGAGATAAAGATAAACTCCTTAAGAGCTTTATCCTTATCTTGGCTAAGTCTTCTCTTTACTCTAGGACTCTTGTCCCTTATCTTTTATCCATTTATCTCGGATTCCGATATCTTCGGAGATAACCTCGGCCTTGCCGAGATAACCTCGGCGTAACAACCAGGACACGTGGCACGTCGGCTGACACGTCAGCGTCACCTTGCCACGTGTTGGTATTCAAAAAATACATCTCCACAACTGCCCCCTAGGTTCTATTACCTCGACATTCTGAGGTGATGGAACCTATATCTGTATTTTCTTCCAGTAAATTGGCTTAAAGTTTGATAGCCAAGATCATTCATTTCTGGCCGACATGCTTTCCCTAAAAAATCAAGATTTTTAAGGAACTTCTCACGCGCATGAGCTGTCATGCACTTCAATCCAACCGTTTTAGCCACACGTTTCCCTCTTACTGGTCCGTACAAGTGACGTGCCTGTTAGCTGCCTCTTTCTTTATGTGCGCCGTCTGACGCCTTCATTCTTCTAGGTGTATTGATTGTTTTTGCCGCCGTTACTGTTTAATCAAAAACATTTTCCCTTTTTTCCGTCTCTTCACTTTTGCATCTGATTTCTCTTTTTTTCTCTCTCTAAACTCTTTCTTTCAAATCCGCCATTGCTCAAGCTCCGAGCTTTGTAATTACCTTTCGTTCTTCCTGTGAAGTTTTCGTTGTCTTCGTTACATCTGTAACTGTCGTCTAACTTCGGCAATCTTTATACCGGCTTCATATTTTCTGGTAAGCATCTGTTTCTTTCTATTCCAGTTCTTGATCTTTTCTGGAATTTCTTGTTTATTACTGCTTTGCTTAAATAATCAATTTGTAAATCATACATCTGAATGCGTTGATTCTGCTCTTTGCTTATGCCCTGAATACATGTATTGTTCTTAGTTCTTCTTGCACGTCTTGCTACTGTTCCTGGCCTTCAACCCTTTGTATTTTTCATGTTTCTTGATAGTCCATCTCTGTTCTTGACTCTGAAACTTCGTATTTGTTTTCTGTCTTTTGTATCTTTTCCAGATCTATGCCTTTGATCTTCATCTTCATAGCTTTAGGTTTGGGATTTTTTTGTAGAACCCACGATTTAGGAAAAAACTGAAACATTCCTTACAAATTTCTGTACCAGCACAAACCTAGGTTTTTGCCGAGGTCCCATCAATAAGAAACATCTTCTTTCTGAATTTCAACCCTTCTAATTCAGGCTGATATCATGGGTATGTGGAGACATAGGGTAGATACCCCGACCAAACTTGAGTACTTTAGGCCAGAGTTCTCCATCCCTGCCGATGTCCATCTGAGACTGGCTGGGGATGATGACTCCATCATGCCTACAGAAAACGCCATGCTCCTTCACATTGTAACTTTTACTGAGAGCGGACTCCGGCTCCCACTCAACATCCTTTTTCGCGAGATTCTTCATTATTATAAGTTGAACCCCATGCAACTGGCAATCAATTCTTATCGAGTGATTTTTGGTATTATCGCCTTAGCTAAACAGGAAAACGTTAGGATCACCCTAACCGATATACAGTATTGTTATACCATGTGTGCCCTTAACTTGAAAGAAAAAGGCTTCATTTATTATCTTAAGCCGAGGTCTACAGAATTCAAAATCATAGCCGACCTCCCAGACTCCAACAAGGGGGCTGGAGATGACTATCTCATTACCTCGGAAAATTAAGAGTTTGCTCCAGACAAGGACATCCATCTATTCCCTCTTCCCCGATCAGTTTTAGAGGGCAAGGGTAAGAGCCAGTATTCAGCTTTACCTATTTTCTTTCGAAGTTTTAAATACTTTGTTTGTTTCTGACGACTGTTCTTTTTGTAGTTGTTCGTCAGCCACCAAAAGATTTTCGCCAATCCTTTGTCCCCAGCAAAGACTTGAAGAGACTTCTGGATTTGCCAATTCATAAAAGAAAGACGCATCTGCTCCTCAATTTCATCCCAACTTATAAGTCAAACCTTGCCCGACGTCTCTAAGAGGAAGAAAAAAAGCCTCTCTCCACCGTCCACTACAACTCCATTGATTGTATCCATATCACAAACAGATCAAGGATCAACATCTGATCCAGCAGATCTGCCATCTTCTTCAGCTCCATACTTGGTTCCAATTGCAGAATGAAAACGTCGGCGACGACTTGTCCTTACTGCCGAGATGGGTCGCCCTAAGTCTGTCGCAAAAGATCTTCTGGCCAGCATTCCATCATCTATTGATGAGCAGCCAACCCAAACCCTTCCTCCATCGAAGCCAAAGAGAATAAAAAAGGCTCAACCAAAGCCTAAGGTAACTCAAATCGAGTCCGAAGATAGCATGCCTATCTTAAAGTTGGCGGAGAGCG